CACCATTACTAAATATGTAACTGGACTGACGACCTTTGCAATTTTTCCAGGAATCCACCTGTTGACACGAGTATCAAAGGTAAGTACTTTTTGGCCTTCATAGAATCTTCTCATTATTCCTCTTTTACTATCCTGGTATATTTTCACTTTTCCATCGATTTTATCTTCTCTTCTCTTCCCTCTTAAAAATGTTGGTTTTAGTAAGGAGAGTTTTGTTCTGGGTTGGCGTTTTAATACTAAATTCGCCGGACAAACTCCTGTGACTGAGTTGGGTGTATTGCGAAAAGAAAACAAGTATTCATCGATCTGTTCCTGTAAAGTCATGGTAATCTTCTGTTTTTCATTATCCTTTAATTGCTTCAATAAGCCTCTCTTGATGGTATCCACATACTTTTCCGCTTTGCCATTTGAGCAAGGATGAACTGGTGGAGTCAAGGATACTTTTGTGCCTATTGAAAGTGCAAACTTCTTGTATTCCTCCCCATTAAATGGAGGTCCGTTGTCTGATACTATCTCTTCTGGAATTCCGAACGTAGCAAATATGTGTTTTAGCGCTTGAATAGTTTTAGACGAATTTGTTCCATGCATTATCTGTATCTCGATCCATCGACTGTAGCTATCTACTACTATCAAGAATTTCTTGTCAAATTTTTCCAAGAAGTCAATGTGTATTCTCTCCCAAACTCGCTTGGTTTTTGACCATGGTGTATACGGTACTGGAACTGCTTTGGGTTGTAAGGATTGACAATTTTCGCAAGAGTTAATACAATTCTCCAGATCTTGATTTAGATTAGGCCACCAAACTTCACCACGTGCTAACATTTTTGCTCGAACTATCCCTATATGCTTATCGTGTAGCAATTTCAAGACTGAATCCCGCAGTTGGAATGGAATGACAACTCTATTCCCCCAGAGTAAACAATTATTTTCAACTGTTAATTCACTTCTTCGGATGTAATATGGTTTCAGATTACTTTCGTTAATCTTGTTGGGCCAACCTTTTTGTGTATATTCTATCACTTTAGAAAGTGTTTGGTCTTGCTTGGTGCATTCTACTATCTCAAGTGCTGTCAACGGTAGCACATAATAATCAGAAAAAGAATACGCTTTTTCTTCCGTCGATTCTTCAAGTGGAAGTCGTGACATGGCATCAGCGTTTGCCATATCTTGTCCTTTCCGGTATTTGATTTCATACTGGTAAGCTTGTAGGATCAACGCCCATCGTTGTAATCTCGCAGCAGACAGAGTAGGTATTTTATTTTTCGCTCCCAGGATTGTTTTCAACGGTAAGTGATCGGTGATCAGCGTAAAAGGCCTATTGTAGATAAATTTATGAAACTTCTTAATTGAAAATATGATTGCCAGTGCTTCTCGCTCAAGCTGTGAGTATCTACGCTGAGTTTCCGTCATTGTGCCAGATACAAACATAATTGGTCTTTCCTCGCCGTTCACTATGTGACTAAGCACACCGCCAACTCCGTATTGGGACGCATCGGCAGCCATAACTAAAGGTAAATCAAGTGAGTATGCAATTAAAGCTTTACTGTTTAGCAATAACTGCTTGCTCTTCTCAAAGGCTTGTCGACATTTACTGGACCATTCGAATGGGACATCTTTTTGCTCTAACCTATACAACGGATGTAATTCTGAAGACAACATAGGTAAATATTTGTTATAATAGTTCAGCAGACCTAAATACGAGCGTAACTGTTGCAGGTTTTTGGGTTCGGGTGCTCTTTCGATAGCCTCCATTTTACTCTTCATAGGTTTGATTCCTATTTCCGACAACTCGTGACCCAAAAATTCCACCGTTTGGACGAAAAACTTACATTTTTGGAAATTCACCTTGACATTAAACTTATCTAATCTAGACAGAACAATTTCAACATTCCTGAAGCAGTCTTCAAGCGACTGACCCACGATAATGACATCATCTAAATAACAGCCAACATTTTTAATTCCCTGAAGTATCTGATCCATAATTGCTTGAAATTGTGCTGGTGCACAAGCTACGCCGTAAGGTAATCTATTATACTGATAAAGACCTTTGTGTGTGTTAATCGTTAACAAATGTTTGGATTCAGGGCTCATCTCTAACTGTTGATAAGCATTACTCAAATCAAGAACAGTGAAGAATTTCCCCTTAGCAACTTGGTTAAAAATATCTTCTACCCTCGGTAATGGGTAATGATTAACCTTGATTAATGGATTAAGAGTTACCTTAAAATCAACACAGATTCTTAAGGACTTCGATGACTTTTTGGGCACTACGACTATTGGACTCGCCCACTCGCTGTATTCAACCTTTTCCAATATTCCATTTACTACCATTTCTTCAAGTTCCTTTTCCACTTCTTCTTTAATAGAGTAAGGGACGGTATACGGTTTGTGGAATACAGGGGTAACATTTTCTTTTAACACAATATTACATTTAAAATTTTTGATGCATTTTGCTTTATCGTTACTAAAGACATTTCTGTACTTGTCTTTAAATTCAGACACAATTTTTGAAATATCTACCTCAATGACATTACAATGCAAACTTTCACGCCACCTAGGTAATAACATATTTAGCCAATTCCTACCCAGTAGTGGTATAAACTCGATTTTAGACAAGACAACGACTAACGGCAATTCATACTTGACATCGGACTCAATACATTTAACCTTTACCATCATTTCACCTACAATTTGTAACTGATCTCCTTGTACGGTTTTAATTTTTAACCTACTTTTACAAATTGGTATATCTTTAAAATATTTGTTACGAGTATCAACAGAAATTAAACTTACGCTTGCGCCTGTATCAACTTCCATGTCTATTATGCGTTTTTCAACATTAACTTTCAAAATAGCTGGATTAGACTTACTTGACACCTGAATGTTCTTGCAGAATCCCACGAATTCTTCATCGGTCGACTCTTCTTTTGCTTCCTCCGTGACATCCTCTTGATCGACTAGTAAATGGACTTTCTTCTGTTTATTCCTACAGACTCTGGACGTATGGCCTTGACGATGACATAAAAAGCACTCCCACTCTTTGGCTGGGCACGTGTCTGGATTATGGAACCTTCCACATCTAAGACAGGACTGGCCTCGACTTGACCTTTGACTAACAGACGTAGACGTAGAGTTTTTATTCGACTTTTGACTGGACGATGCTAAGCTCCGACTGGACTTCGGACTACACGACACTGACATTTGACCACGTACTTGACTTTGACTGACATCCTTCCTTCTTTGACTCACTTGTTTGGACGAGTTTCCTCTATACAACTTATTTACTTTACCATCTTGCTGTAACTCAAGGCTCTCTGACTGTATTAATTCTTGTGCTAAAGCCAACTCGCACAGCTTGGAAAACGACAAATCCTTCTCAGACAGTAGACGGTTTTGTATCTTCTTATTTGACATACCACTTATAAACTTATCTCTCAGTGCACGATCTAAAAAATTTCCAAACTCACACAAATCCGCTTGTTCTTTGAGTTTACTTATATATTCAGCGATCGACATACTACCTTGACTAATTTTATAAAACAGGTGACTTTCGAACGTGACTGACTTCACTGGAGCCATTCGCTGCTTTAATATTGCCTTTAATTCCTCGTACGACTGACTAGCAACTTTGTTCGGTTTGACAGCGTTTTTCATCACTCTGTATGCTTCACTTCCAACCAGGGTGACAAATAAATCGACTTCATGATTACCTTCGACTTGATTGCACTTAAACAGGTGATCCATTCTCTCCAGGTAGCTTTCGATTTCCGTTTTTTCTAAGTCGATGGGTTCGATCGTACCAATAAGTGACATTTTGTTGATTGTTGTTTTCTATGGTTTTTACAATGACATTCGACTGCAACTAACTTCCGACTGGACTGATGGAAAATGGCTGACAAGACTCACTTCCGGGTTTGGAGGTTACGACTTCGATTTTTCACGGATTTTCGCTTTGTTCCTTTTTATCTCGTCGCCAATTTATGTTGTGTCTTTACACGAGGTGTGACCGGACCATTGACTATACACAATTCGTTAATTAGTCTTTATTGAACACAACATAACAAGAGACATTGAACGACCTTTTTGTGACACTTTTCTCTAAACTCTATAGTACCAACTTAACTTACTAAACTTAACCCAATACATAACAGATACGAGTCAAACTTTTTCATTTGGCAAAAAGCGATCCGAGAGATTTTATTTCAATCCAAATTACAAAATATTGTTTTCATACGTCATATTTGAAGTAACGTTACTTTAGCAACCTTTAAAGTTCGGTGTGTTTAAGGCGGAAACACATTACTGTCACGTCACGTGAGCTCACGTGCTATCACGCAAACTCACGTTACCTGCGCAAAATGTGCAACTCCACTGACGTATAGAAGTTTATGACGTTTATGTCTTTAGAATCATACTACTGTCACCTCACGCATTCACGACGTGCTGTTCTGATCTCGCATGATATCACGCCTCCGTTATCCCGCAAAATTACATTTTGTAGTAGAACGTGACATCACGTCAAGTGTTTTCCGAAGTGGTTTCGTCAAGAAAAGATGGACGAACATTTAATTGAACTGGTGAGACAGCACGAAAGGCTATACAATCACTCCTCTGCTGAGTACCGGGATCAGAGGGTTCGACAAGAAGCTTTTGGGAGGAAATTGGTAGAATCTTAAAAATAAAACTGTAAAAGCAGCCACGTTTTCTATATCCTCTTCCTCATCTGAAATTTTTTTTTATTTTTATTTCATTATACCTCTCTTGTTCTGGGCCCTCAACAGACTTGCGCCCTATTACAGAGTGACCCGCATAATGCTTTTTTAGAGGTGCCTCTGCAGACGGTCTTAAGTTGTTCTATACTACTCCGGTATTTACCTTACGAATTAGGAAAACTCCAGGAAAACCTAATACGGAGTAGCCGGCAGAATGCTCGAAACTGGTCTAAGGTAATTTCCAACTCTGCCACAGATGAAAAATGCACCTCAACCAAGGTTCGAACACCCGACCTCCGGATTTATAGCCCAACGCTCTACCACTGAGCCATAAAGCCGTTGAAGAACTTGACGAAGAAGAATCTCTACTTCGCTTCATTGCTACGAATGACTAAATGCAAATCTTAAATTGCAACGACAGCTACCGCGCGACACCGTGAGCGCACACAAGTGTGTCTCCTAGCGTGACATCACGCGAAGGTATGCTTGACGTGATAGCACGTGAGCTCACGTGACGTGACAGTAATGTGTTTCCGCCTTAATCGTCTTTTTACGCACACTCAGGCGTGTTTTAAACAGCGATTCTGATGCAGATGTGATAAAAAAGAAATATTTGTATTGTTATTTAGGACCTTTTTGTAATGTAGTAACGATGCACTGCCACTTCATATACGAGGAGGACTGACATTACATGGAAAGCTTTTTATGTTAAACGTCGATATTAGGCGCTTCCTTTCGGTGATCCAAACGCGTTTTGATTGTCAAATCACGTTCTTTCGAAGTGTGAAGTTATGATCATGATTGCTAAAATCGTGAACAACCTGAACATAAAAGTTTTATGATCACGAATTCCTAACCTATAAATGCAAGGATATATTTGCTCAAATGTTAGATTAGTCAATATTTGTAACTGAAGAGGAGCATAATCGTGCAAGTACTTCCACTTGTATTTAAATTATTTTCATAATCCAAACAAAAAATACGTAATTCGAATGCAAATATACGTAAACTTAACCATACTTTGATTTAAATTCGCGCGTTCTTTTGTAAAACGCGATCCTACGAATCACGATTGTAATCATGATCGCGAAGTAGCCGAAAGAAAGCCCCTATTATTGATGGAGCAATTAGCATTTAAATTGAAGATTCCTGTGAATAGGATGCAAGATTGAAGGAGGGCTTCGTTGTAATAATCCTACGTTTGTCGTGATACTTTTCCGTCAATTGTGGAAACTTGTGCTGTTTACCTGCATACCACATGTAACGTAATATCAGCTGCCATAAGGTGAGTTTGTTAATATTTCTTCATAATACCCAACTGTTAAACTGACGTCAATGTTATTGATAAGTTACTTACAACGGCCTTGGCGTGCTAAATTCTATAACGTTTGGAAACTGTTTCTATCCCAACGGGAAACAACAACAACTTGAATGTTCATGAACTTGGCAAGCCTACTACAGCAGACCATGGTTCTGCTTACTGATATCGTTAGTGTTCCGTTAGTGCACGTTAGTGCCGCTGAACAAATCGTTAGTGCACAAAAGGAAACTTACTATTTTAAAAAAATATTTGTGGCCTGCTAACTTCATGCCAGCAGACCCATTTGAGAAAATCGATTCAATCTTTACACTAGTTAAACTAGCAGCGTTAGTGCTCGTTAGTGTCGCCAATATAAACGTTAGTGCTCAAAGTGTAACAGCTCAAAACGTTGTTTATATTTGAATTTTGTATTAGAATATCCATTCCAATTGTATATTAAATTTTAGAGAGATTTTTTCATTTACGATTTGAAACTTTCATCGAATTGTTTATATTGTTTACATTGTAAGCTATAACGTTTGCATCATAAAAAAATAGACGAGTTTTTGACCGTATTCATTGATTTCAAGATATAATTCAGGTAACGTATTACTTTTGATTTTGATGGGATATTTAAAATTGGTGCTTTATCTGAGTACATCGTTCCCAATTTATTGTCCTCAATCTACCCAAAGTTCTGGATATATCAACACCACATTATTTCTTTACCACATAATACATACAGGTATTTGTATAGGCAAAGTAAAAAAGGTAGGTTTTCTATGACGAGTTAACAATTTGCGGACCAACTACAAGTCAATAGTAAGAAAAATCAACATCATTGGCGTAACCAACGTGGAGGTAACAATGTCAAACCTATACACTGTGAAACATCATACTAACAATTTAGTTAACATTAACATGTCTTTTTGCCCGCATTCAATAGGCAATAATTTACCTAAAATCCCCAAAAGTGTCAAACGTAAAGCGGACTTAGGGCAAGTTAAACGAACTCATTCGAGCACGGCGATTGAAGTGGCCGATGTTAATTAATATTTGGACAATGATTTCCTAAAGGGGAATTTTGGTCAGCATTTGTGTAACTGTTGTTAAGTGCATTTATTTACTGTATTAATCTATAGTATTGAAGGTACATTCTTGCCTTGAGTCTTGAGTATATTGATTATTAGTTAATTAATATTAATGAATTAGGGGTGTTGAACGCTATGCCTGCGGAATGCGACTTTGTGTGTGCAGTTAAATGCCCCTAGCCCCATGGGTATAGAAAATGATTTTTTCCACAAAAATGCATATACCCAACTCAATTTTTCTTTAAATGCAAATGCAACGACACTGCAGGTACTATCTGTAGCCGCTCGCGGTGAAAGTGCTCGATACCCTACGACGCGTCTCGAGTCATCAGATCGATGTAAGGACTCTGTGCCTGGGCCCGTCCCAGCCCATCGCGTTGGTAGACTCCCGCTTACCCTCGTTGTGAGGGTGGGTTATCGCACGGGAGGATACGTGGTCTTGCACTCTGGTATACAGTGTGTCTGTATGGAGGAGAGCCCTGGGCAATTTTTATTGTGCATGTGGGTTATGTATTGCGGGTCCATGCGGGCCCGTTCGTCATAAGGCCCTCTTCATGGGAATTACGTTTTCGGTCTAAGGGCTCCAGGACAAAGTGGGCCGACTGACGTGATAAGATCTTTGTTCCACCATAGTGTAAACTGTAAAGAATAGAATTACACCATGGTTCCATGCATGGGGGTAAGGATTGCGCCGGGGGATACGTTGCCGAGTGGCATATGAGGACCTGGACGTGTGAAGATCCTGTGTTATCGTTAACCCATAACTATTAAGTGTAGCATGTTTGAGGGTAGCTAAGTAGCTTAATCCAAGACAAAGGCATTTTCAACCTTCTTGCTTTCTTCCTTGGAAATGCTTTTTCATGTAGACGATGGCTCGCGCATGGTTTAATTTCCTTCTTCGGTATCCACCTAATGGACCGATTGTTTCAAGGTTGCACGATACTCTTTGCCACAACGACTGGCACAGATTTTACACTGCTTCACCCCGTATACTACGTATGCTCTTTTGCCACTATTTACATTTGTATTTGTAAATATACAATTAGTAAAATCTGAGCCAATCAGCTCGCTTTATCTTACAACACGGAATGGTTTAAATACTTAACTCGCGCTAGTTTATTAAGGTGTTACGTTTATGGCTAAAAGGTTTCTCTTATTTCTTATTATTCATTTATTTTTTTCTGTTGTTGGGATCAGTTTCAGATCGGAAGAAATTTCTATTAATTTTTGTTTATTCAGATATACAGTTTCTTTTAATTTACTTAATGTAAATTAACGTAATAGCAACGCATATAAATTTTGAGCGTGTCACTTTACGCATGCGGACAAACAAAACCATCGAAGGGGAAATGGGAACGAGACAGAATTATTGTGAACGTGGTACGATATACCTACTCCGATGCAATATTACGCTACTTTTTTTATCTATCGCCGCACCGCTACGCTACTGTATTGCACGCCACTGCCGCCATCCATCTACTGCCGCTAAAAGGTAAGTGCGTGCTCAAATTTACGCAAAATTTATTATCTTTCAAACCGCACATTATCTGGTCCTTCGAGCCGGATTTTTATGGAAAATTCTTCCATCTGGATTTGTTCAGTTTTTTTAAACGCGAAAATTATTTAAAATTATTTACGAACGCGCTATTGTTTAAGCCGCAAATGTAACATTCTAACCGCTTATCTTATTCCTGTCAATACACACATAGTCGATATCAGGCATTGGTAATCTCATTTGTTTGATTTTACGAATTTCTGTACCTCAAGCAGGTTCGTATTTCCTGCCTATCATGTCGTCCAATGCAAACAAAATTAAGCAATACAAGGCCTTATGTCAATTAGATGTAAATCGGGTTCTTCAAATCAAACAATTTGCCCAAAATGCAGCCTCTGTTCCTAATACGCATACGCAATTTAGTATGTTGTACAAACAATTAGATACAATAGTTGAAGATTTTCGAAAAAATTATTACCTACAACCTAATTGCGCTTCTTGCTTTACAAGAGGATCCATCGTACGCCG